TCGTCCAGACTAAAAGACTTTTCAAATGGTTTAAATATTCTAAAATGATATAAAATCACAAGAATTATTCAGTTATATATCAAATATATGAATATATAATGAAATTGTCAAGACAAAGTAGTGAGATAAAATACCAGGAAACAAATCCTGACGTCGTCTATGAGAAGAGTGTGTCTAGTGATACAGATTTGTTAGTATATATGGAAAAGAAAATTAACCTAATCGATTTATTGATAGAAGGATTAATGAATATTTATTGAGAACAACACACAGATATACATTATAAAGAAATATCGAATTTTACAATGAATAAGATTCATTGCAATAAAAGAAAAAACAGTGGGTGCACGTGATGATGATATTATTGTTAAGTTTTTTTTTCAAAAATAAAACAATTTCATGTCGGTATTATTTTTAAACGATATGAATGGAAGTCATATTATATGAGTTACAAGCTGCTGACAAGAAACAGATTTCTCTCATGTCTTCTAATTTCTCCACATGAACTTTGTTCATTTTACTGTGAGATAGTTGAAAATACGTCGATTTTTATATCTTCACCACTGATATCATTTGGTTCCTTGAATGATAAAGAATGCAGTTTTAATGAAACAAATTCTGGGCATGAATTGACTATTTAAATTAATATTCCAAGAAAAGTCCTTTCTTCAGCAGTGGTAGAATGACAAATTTGTGCTTACGTTAAAATGCATTTGAACTTGGTATTAATAACATTATCTCGTGGATTTCCATTAGTATTCGTTAGAATCAATTGAGAAGATTTGTTCATTTCTGAAGAAGAAGCAACTATTCCAGCTAATAACAATGTGTGCCATCTTTTTCTAGAATAAAAAAAGTAGTTCTATAAAAAATATATTGTTTTTCTCGATATACTTGTATGATTGAACTGAATATAGAATACATGGAAAAAAGATAGGTGCTGCACTTAACCATCTGGTTACAATTCTCGAAACCTTTTTTAGGTTTCGTCGCAAGCTCGAAACATTAGGTAACTCTATGCAACCCTCGTTGGTTTCATTCGACACCGTTCCTTTTTTTGTGAAACACGACCTGAAAGGAGTGTTGAAGTGTTTAGGGGCAGAAATTTTCACCCCCCCCCCCCTCAGACCGTGACAGAGAAATTTCATACCCATCACAGACCGTGACAGAGGAACCAAATACCCATCACAGACCGTGACAGAGGAACCAAATACCCATCACAGACCGTGACAGAGGAACCAAATACCCATCACAGACCGTGACAGAGGAACCAAATACGCATCACAGACCGTGACAGAGAACCTCTGAACCCATCACAGACCGTGACAGAGGAACCAAATACCCATCACAGACCGTGACAGAGAAGCTCTGGACCCATCACAGACCATGACAGAGAACCTCTGGACCCATCACAGACCGTGACAGAGAATCTCTGAACCCATCACAGAGCGTGACAGAGGAACCAAATACCCACCACAGACCGTGACAGAGAACCTCTGGACCCATCACAGACCATGACAGACAACCTGTGGACCCATCACAGACCGTGACAGAGAACTCCAGACACCATCACAGACCATGACAGAGAACCATCGGACCCATCACA